AGGTGATTACACCATATTAAAAAGAATTACATTTTATTCCAAGAAAAGGCATATGACCCCCAGACAGGTGCTGCTGCCTTCCCTTGCATTACCCCTACAAACTACCATTAATCAACCGAAAAAAGTCCCATGCATTCGAGAGTTCCCCAAGTCCAGGCCGTCCTAAGTAATGGCCGAGAAAGGCACTTAAACAGTATGCTGTATCGGAGCCGAAAAATTGGTAAGTAGACAGATTGTGAAAGGTGGTTCGCACTAAGAAATTCCGTCTTGGAGGTGAGGGTCGTATTGACACGGCCATTCTACCCAACCCAGTTGTAAACAATGATCGTGAACCTCTGGGACCCTTGTCTCGCATTTTCTAGCCGCGAAAGCGGCGCGCTCTATACAGCTGTCACCTGGGCTCCTTGTACAGTGAGAAGGCCCTACCTCTTAGGTGACCGCGAAATGTGTCTTTAGGTTCACCTTGTTCAGGACTGTTACCAGAGGATTCCCTTCATAAAGAGAAGAGAATGTCAATCAAAACGGAAAGAAACATTGATACTCCCTTTATATCTGGAGCAACACTATCGGGCATACATATCTTCCCTGCAAATGTGGAAAAAAAACCAAGGGTTTTTGGAGCCACATTGGAATTCCTCGTGATACTGCATCACGGCCCCATTTCAGTAACCTCCCGCCCTGCGCATCTGACATTCGAATGTCTTCTAGTCCAAATTCTGAGCACCAATTTCCCTCTCCGCACACAGTCATCTCTGAATTTGAGACACATAACGCACCATACTTCCTAATTTTAGGCAATTATCAGAATTGCATGCTCTTACTGGAAAACCCATCAAAATCGTTTTGCTATCCCGTGTTTTCGCTGCATTGAAAGTAATCACTGCAGATACGGATATGACAGCTGAAAACTGACAATTAATTCTAAAACGCGTCATCACATTATTAGTCCCACTTCCGTCTTTACTGTAGTAAATTATACGGCGCAGGCTATATAATTTCGTTATAGGATATCCATTCGTATCACGAGCACAGCGTTTGTAATGGGCAGAAGGATAGAGTCGAAATACGAATTTAAGGAAAAATTTCAGGTATTATTTATTCTTCACTGCCTTACTCTTCGAATCCAGCAAAATTTTGATCGAAATTTGTCTCTTGTGTAGATTCGGCTTGAAAGTTGTTCCTAGGACTGATATGATGATTTCGTAGACCGTCTCAAGATACTTGTCGACTGTTAAGCCTCTCTCCTCTTTCCTTTTTTCTTCTTCCTCTCTTCTTTTCCTTTGATGCTATCTTCCCACTTCCCTTTCAATCTCAGGTTGACAGAAGCACTTTACCCCTTTCCCCCACTCCTCTACCCCCCCCCCCCACAAAATTACGTATATTACATCCGCCCCGTAGGAAAGAAACGGCGAGATAAAGAAGCTAGAGACGCCTTACCCACCTAAAAAACAGGTTCATCAAACGGAACCGCTCATTCCGAAACATCCAAAAACGCTGAATTTCTGGATCACTTGTATGCGAAGTT